AATTTAGAGGCAATCATCCGTCCGCTGAAACCTGGCTCATCTGTGCTGTATTTATCGTAAAATTCAAACATTGATATAGGGCTTTCTGCAATACAAGATATGTTGAAAACAGTCGATCCTGCCACTCCCGTCTCTGGGTAAATCTTGCATGAATGCAAAGCCAAAAACGAGGTTGATATGGGGTGGATCGCAAACTGTTTGGCGCTTGAAAAAGTGACTTTTAACTGGTATGATGAGTTTTCTTTAAGAGCATTCTCATTAAAAATCAATATGAAAGAAGGGGTATCAACTTGTCTCAAAGACTTGACAGAGAAATTGGTGTTCAGTAAAGCACCCCGCTCATCGAATTCAAATATTTTCCATTCAAATGAGAATAGATTTAGATGAGCCCAATAGCCACCAACTCGCAAATAAATTATGTCTTGCGGATTAGATTTGGCCTCACAGTTGTAAACACAGTCAATTGAGATACTTTGAAGTGATGTTTCATTTAGTCCTAAGTCACCAACAGAAATAATCTGATGTGCATAAGCTGGCTTTAACTTATTATCAAAACCTGCAGATGTAACTTTAAGAGTGAACCTATAAATTCTATCACTTTTTAATACCATATGCTCAATTTCATAGAGTCCATGAAAGTTATCTGTTATCGTGTGTATGGTTGGCAAACAGCTTCTGTGGTCCAGTTACAAGAAAAAGTCAAGATCATTTGCGACTTGCCATCAGGCGTGTTTGGGTTAGAAGAGCGAGATGCGTCTAGGACCAAGCCTTGTTGGTTAAAGATAAATCTTGAGCTTCCTCCAGATATTACGGCAACTAAAGGAGAATATAAAACGTTCACTAAACAAATGTTAAAGTTCTCAAACCTAAAAGGTGAAACGTCTGTATTTTCTAAATTTGCCAATTGATATATGCCTGTGTACGAACAATTAATAACATACATTCCATACCAAGAAAAAACAGGAATATCCCAAGAACGACTATTAATCCGGTAGTCTTTTATTGATTTGAACGTGTCGGTGTCTCCTTCCACCTTGTAAGCTTCCCACTTTTGTTGTAATTCAATGAAACCTTCCTTCTTCAAATTTCTTCTGGGATAAAGGGTGTATTGTAGGCGGATTGTGTCTCTATATTCGTATCTGATAATTTTAGAAACAGTGTAACCGCATCCTTCGAGTCGTACAAGAGATATGCCTAGCAATAGTTGCTTAGGATGATTTGGCTCTGACACTTTTAATGGCATTCTCAAGTGGTAATTATGATTATGCTCTGACACTTTTATTTCGTCCCAGTATGTATCTAACCGGAATTGTCTAATAAAAGACTTTGGTAAGTCATTCCACACATAATCTGAAGTCTTGGACGTTGGTAAAATCCTGTCAAGCGGAATTACGATTTGAGCTGTGGACAAGTGTTCTGTCACATACTCACTAATATAACGACACATAGCTATGTCCAAATACTTGTTATTGTTATTTGCGAAACGTTCACAATACTTCCTTGCGTCGTTCTGATGTTCTAAGTGTACAAACTTGTTAATCCGAGCGAAGTAACCCATATCGAGATCGTAAACGTGAAAAGACAATCTCTCCAGTTGCGCTTTATCCTTCGGACCTCGACCCACACTTATGAGCAGTGGCGCCGGAGTGTTGAACTCCATATGTATTGGAGGAAAGAACTGAATACCGCTTGGATACCTGAAGCCAACATCGCCCATCTTCTCACATTGATTTCCGTAGTCAGAATCATCGCAGAAACAAACACACTCGCCGTAGCCATTGTAAGCCTTATCATCTTTGCTGAAGCAGTCTGAATAACATTGTACTGGAACATATTCACAAGGGTCTTTGTTTTTGAAAACGTCCTCGTCTATTAGACTGTTTCTCCTAAAGATCCTCTCGTCTATGAGTTGACATATCCCTTCTGGTGCATGATACTCTCCGCTACAGAAGCCACATTTGATAAAATCAGCGGGCTTGTTACAATCTAAATCGTCTTTGCACTTTGTGGTATTGGTTGGCAATTTGACAAAACCAGAATGAACTATGAGAAGTAACAAGAAGATAAATCTGGCCACGTTACAGACCATCGGTGAATTAGTTCAAACGGCATTTAATTGAATGTAACTAAATTAAAATAACAATCATTAATTTGTTTGTTTGTATTGAAACAAAACATAATTGTTTTTGCTTTACATCAGCTGTAGCTTAACCTTTATTTAAAACTTACATTTTTTCATTATATGCTCTCTTGATCACACCTTGATCACACACCCCCCCCTCCCTCACAAATTATAGGTTACTATACTATACTACATATATTTTCGCATCGCAAAATTACGATTTCCTAACTTTTGATGTGTGAAAAGAATTTCTGGCGAGGATTTTTAAATATTTAATATATTAAATACTTATATATTTACGTGCAATCACAGACGTATTTACGTACATCGCCGTCATCAAATCACGTACAATTTCTGGGTTTTATCTTCTTTTAATCTATGGTTTTATGGTCTTCTGGTCGCCCTGGAGCGCAACTAGTTTATCTCATGTACAATAAACAACTATAATACAAACAAAAAGTATAATTTATAATATAAATTTCAAAGATTCACAGAATCTCCATTATCCTGGCCTGTATTGTATGTAGTCATTATATTTAATTTTAAGTTGCAAAACATCATCTTAGATCAATTAAATTCTTTATTCAAGTCATAATGTCAATCTCTCCTGGTTTTTGGATTTTCTTTCAGAACATTTTTAGAAATAATTACTCATTATTACTTGTAAATACATTAGTGTCAGTTTGAAGAAATAATCGTAATCCAAAGAACTGTTCGATATTTCATAGAGGACGTACTATCTAAACAGAAGATTGCTATTTGATGAATAACTTATGTAGTAATTATAAACAAATTGCAAAAATCACACAAAACTTTGCTTCTAAACGTTTGCTTTTCTATTTCCAAAATTGTTGGGCCATATTGTAATATCTTAAGACAATTGAACCAATCCAGTGAATACACCTAAACCACAGACTATTGAATAATATTTTATAGTCTGTGGTTTAAGTGTTACATTACACATTATGTAATGTGTTTAAACGTCTTATCGTAGTTTGCCGCGTAATTTGGCGTCACTGACACAATGAGATACAGATAAAGACAGACAGAAAATGATATATGACAATAAAGGTCACAACCAATCCATCATGATAATTGCATTTTTGTGTATTCATTTTAAAATAAATCATCACGCAAATCGTGTCATTATTTTATTGTTTTTATGACTTCATAAATTGCTACAACCGAATGAAACCGTCATAAGATTTCCGTTTTATTAATACTTTACTTTAATACTTTTAATGAAATGGGGACCATACAAAGTAGTCATTTTAAGCCAAGTATGAATGGGGATGAGTGTAGGATGAGTGGCACGATCTTGTAGTCTTGTTAGTGACATGACATTATTACAGAGTTCAATGCTCCTACATAAACAACACATCACATAGAGCAATAACTATTCCAATAATCCACCGGAGTTGTGTCAACATTACTCTATGATCGGAGATTAAAGCTTTGTACACAATTAATGTTTATTGAAAACGAAAGCCACAATAAACTGAGAGATATAAATTTAGATATGACACGTTTTTTTGCTTTCTTAGGCTATGAAACACATAGATATCCAATTGCTTGACGATTCTACGAAATGTACAGACAAAACTGTCCAGTCGACTAAATTGTTTTTAATTTCTTAACTTATTTATTTTAAGGCAATCCATGCATTTGTAGTACAACTTAGTATATAGCATGATTAGGCTTTTAGAAGGCTTTACATATGGAAGTATTTGTCTTAGATTAGAGGCATTTGATTATGAATCATTAGTTTCGGAAATATAAAAACAAATCACTTTATATCATTCTACGAGTACACAAACAATACAATCATATTCGTATCGCAATAAGAAACCAGTATTGCGTTCGTGCCCTATTATACTATTATTATAGTAGAGTTTATCAATAAATATGTTTTGGTGGGTTTATATATTTTACCTACGACCATTTTTTTACTAGTCACAAAAACAATGTTCATTTCAGTTCTTAGAATTGATAATATTCACTTAACATCATTGTTTACTTACTGAAGCATTGTTGTTTTTCTTTACAACACGACTAACGGACCAATGAGGTTCAAGGATTAAGAGAAAAGAAGTAAAATTGTAGTCCAACAACAAGTAATGAGTGAATGGTTGGAACAATAGTCGTTGCATCGCAATTAGTGGCTATAAGAGGTTATAAACGAAAACATAACCTCTTTTAGAAGTTTTTACTAGTGATTTTCAGTAATTAAGAAAGGGTAAAGGCACCTTGAATTTTCTACTCAAGTCCTTAAGACTATCCTTACGCGATCGTTGCGTAAACTACTATTGTTGTTCTTCACTCACGTAACTTAACTATATAATGATACGGATAAAATCTCCGTGTTCACTGTTTGCGTTAGTTTTATACTGCAACTGAGTCCCAATTTTAACACATTGCCTACTATTTAATTGTCACTAAGCCACGCATTTTTTGGTTACCATCATTATCCACGCAAACAAGTTTAAAATCATAATTTCCTGTGTAGCGAAGCATTCACGCAAATTTCCGTCAGCTTTGCCAATGATTAAAGTAAAGACAATTTCCTTAGCAACAGAATGCTGCTTCAGGGGAGATGTAACAGCTGTAACAACCCTACTTGCAACGTTTCCACTTCGAAGTCTGTCTAACTATCATAGATAGATTTACTCGTTGGCCTGAAATTTGTCCTATTGATCAAATAACTGCCGAATCTGTTACTCGAGCGTTTGTCTCTACTTGGATAGCTCGATTTGGATGCCCACAAAAGTTGACATGTGATCGCGGATCCCAGTTCACATCGACTTTGTTTAAATACCTAGCGCGACAGTTGGGCATAAAGCTCCAGTTCACTACCAGCTGGCATCCACAAGCCAACGGTATGATTGAAAGACTCCACCGCCAGTTGAAAGCTGCTATAATGGCTCACAGCAAATCAGACTGGACCGATGTACTACCCTTAATCCTTCTCGGAATAAGATCTACTTTCAAGGAGGACATCTCTGCTTCATCGGCTGAACTGGTGTATGGAGAACCACTGCGTCTTCCGGGAGAGTTTTTCGTAATACCTTCCCATGAGAGCAACGAGCCACAAGAATTGTTATCAGGGCTGCGTAAGCATATGAATCAACTAAGACCTACACCCGCATCACGCCACATCAAACCAGGGTCGTTTGTGTTCAAGAACCTCAGTACTTGTGACTTTGTATTTCTTCGACAAGACTGTTTAAGGAAATCTTTACAGGCCCCATATTCTGGTCCCTACAAGGTCACATGCCGTGACGAAAAGACAATTACCATCATTGTAAGAGGCCAAGAAACTAAGGTATCTTTGGACAGGGTCAAACCAGCCTATATTGTTGCCGATGAAAATCCTATTCTTGAGCCCACGAAAGGTTTGGTGCCGACTGGACAAGCAGAGGAAACCTCAAAACTACCACCATGTTATCAAACTCGTTCTGGAAGTCAAATCCGACCACGGGTTGCTTTTCAGAATGATGTATAGATTCCTTTTCTCCGTGGGGGGCTGGTGTAGCGTCAGCTGATGACGTTGTCATAGCAACGTATGATTTAGTCTGGTTTTTGTTTTTCTCAGGATTGTACACAAAATTTAACTCTCTTATTAAACTACTTTTCTTTTACTTATTTGGTCGTTCGTATTTCATTTGATATACACAAACAACCACGACCAAAAATTCTCGTCATCAACTGGTAACTAGAAGACAGGAACCTGGAAAAAATATTGATCAGTATCTTCGAAAACTCAAAGAACTTAGTAAAGCATGCAAATTTAAATCTGTCACTGCTAATAAAAATCGTAACGAGTACATAAGAGACGCTTTCATCCGAGGATTAATATCACAGTCCATTCGACAAAGACTTCTTGAAAATCTAACTTTGAATCTTGAAGAAGCTTATAATCAAGCCATTACCTTGGAATCAGCTGAAAATCAGGTGGTTTTTTCAAGCCCTTGTAACTCTATATCTCAGTCAACTCATAAAAATGTTGATGTTACTGATCCAAATGTTTCTCAGGCAGCTTCTGATTCGTCTTCACACCAATTATCCTCGTTAAGAAGAGAAAAATGTTTCTTTTGTGGACGGTCACTATAGAATTACACTAAATGATATTCAAAATATAAAAGAACGATTTTATTGAATTCTTAAACACATCAACCTAAACAGAATATTTACTAACAAACTTAATAATAATAAATCCGCTGACGTATTAATTACTTATACATTTAACTATCTAACACTTTTCCCTCTTTCTTTTTACACTGATTCAACAGCTCCCATTCTTTGTCTCATCTGGTCAGCATGTTTCCTTTTTATAACACCTCCACAAAGTACATCATATAAGTACAGTCCATTTTTATTTTTCACAATTCCAGCTGACCAACCATTCCCATGTTCATTCTTAATCCACACATCTTCTCCTTCTTCAAAAGTTCGAACTTTTTTGTTGACCCTCCCTTGTTCTTTCCAAAGCTTCATCTGCATCTTTTTCCTAAGATTGGATTTCATATTGTCAAAAACTGTTGGTAGTCTACGACCGAGAAACAATTCTGCCGGAGCCCTACCAGTTGTTTTCTGAGGCGAGTTTCTGTAGCTAAAAAGAACATTTTGAAGAGCTAGCATTCCATCTCCAACATCCTGCTTTGTTGTGTAGAACCGTCTTTTCAAAGTACGAATTAGTCTTTCCACAAGTCCATTACTTTTAGGATGGTAAGGAGATGTTTTTATGTGGTTGATAGAATTTTTCTCAAAAAATGTTTCCATTTCCTTTGATACAAATTCAGGTCCATTGTCTGTCACAATTTTACTTAGTATTCCATATTGACTAAACCAATATCTCAATCGTTGAATGATTGTTGAAGAGTTTGTTGTCTTGAGACAGTCCACTTCTGCCCACTTAGACAAAGCATCAATACCTACCAACCACATAGATCCGTTGACTGGCCCTGCCAGATCAATGTGTACCCTTTCCCAAACTCTATCAGGTACATTCCAAGGATATAATGGTACTTCTTCCACATTATCTCGATCCTCTTGACAAGATGTGCACCTCTTGATATAAACTTCGATATCTTTATCCATTTTGGGCCACCATACATAGTGTCGTGCTACAGACCTCATTGATACAATACCAGGATGTCCTGAGTGCAATATCTTCAGAACATCAGTTCTCATGCATTCTGGAACTACAATTCTTCCAAACCACAATAATATGTCATCTTCAACACTCAATTCATCTTTCCTCTGTTTTTATGACTTCAACATTTCAGGAAAAACAGGGGGCCATGTATTTCTCAATACAAAGTTTATTGCCATTTTAATTGCTTTATCTGTAAATGAATTTTGTTTCAAGAGGTCATAAGACAACAAACTCTTCAACAATCATTCAACGATTGATATCTTGGTTTAGTCGATATGGAATACCAAGTGAAACTCTGATAGACAATGGCACAAATTGGCTCTGGAGTTTCCCATGTTAACCTTATGAGAAATGGAATTAATTAATCTTAACAGCTGTTTCAATTAAACAAGTTGGTTCTGTTCTATGCATCCATCTCTATAGTAATAACAGAGATCGATGGTTCTATGATGTTCAATAGCATTAAAATTACAAGGATTACCAACAGGGTGCAGCACTATTATTTCTTTTACATTTATGACAACATCTAATTTGCAACCAAAAGGTGAGTGAGCGTAGCGAACGAACTTCAACCAGGACGTGATTGCGTCATGCGAACGAGATCATCTTGAAAATTAAGAAGTTAAACGGGGCAAAGCATGCGGGTTACAGCTAGTTACTTATACATTTAACTATCCAACAGTCACGACACTCGCGAACCAACTGTCCTGCCAAAGACTCAGTGTGTAACTAGTGTACCTGTTGCTCGAAATCGAGCAATTGTCAAGTACTGGTATTATACAGAAGTTATTTTAAAACTACAGTAATAACAGTCATAATTTTCGATGAGTTTAAAAGACCCGACTAAATGCCTATGTAACTAATTGAAATACTCACCCTATAAATAATAAATAATAAATAAACTTTATTTAATGCTTTGAAATAATAAATAAACGCTTCTTGTAAAAATATTAAGCATTTCATGGACCCGGCCTTATTTTTGTGTGTTTTCTACAAATGTTTCCCGACTTAAAGCTGTTACCAGTAAACATTTCTTGCGCTCGACGTTCTGTACCCACGAGCACTTTAGATTCCAGAAGCACAGAAGGCCTTGGAACAGTTCCTGGGATAACAGCTATTTGTGTAATAGCTTCACTGTATATCTTTATTGGACCTGTTCAGATAGTTGTTTCAACAGTTGCAGTTGCGAACTGTGCATTGTGATTTTAAGGTGTTTATTCATTACTGTTTGTTCATTTTTGACTCGAGCTGCTTGAAAGGTGTTTTATGATTATGAAAATAAAGTGTTGTCGGTGTGCTGAAGCTGATTATTTGTTATTAGGTATTGACAAGTGAGAGTTCCGACAGTTTTATATCCGAAGCTACTCTGAAAAGATTCAATATATCTAAATACCCAACAAAGCATGAAATATCGATGCCATCAACAAGCCATGTTTCATCAACTCTTGGCCACTGTATTGTTGACATGGTGTGCGATGGCCATGAATACCCACAGACAAAGCTGCTCGTCTTAACTGATTTATGTGCCGATGTTGTAATTGGACATGACATCCTTCGGCAACATTCTTCTGTGCAGATGAATTTTGGTGGTAAACGCCCACCCTTCAACGTTTGCAATCTACTTAGGGCTAAAGTATCACCACTACCACTGTTTGATAATCTAACTAATGACGTCAAGCCTGTTGCCACAAAGTCCCGCCGCTGCTACTCTGAAGAAGATAGTAAGTTTATAAAAAGTGAAGTAAGTAGGCTTATATCAGAAGGAATAATTCAACCGAGTAAATCACCTTGGAGAGCCCAAGTGATTGTGGTCAACAATGGGCACAAGAGACGTCTGTGTATTGACTACTCTCAAACCATCAACAAATTCACACAGCTTGATGCCTACCCTCTACCTCACATTAAAAGCACATACCTCACATTGAAGCTTGCTCAATATAAAGTGTTCAATACAATCGATCTGAAGGAAGCATATCACCAAATACCTATTTGGAATTAAGATAAACCATTCACTGCATTTGAAGCTAATGGAAGACTTTACCAATACTCCGTAGAATTCATTGGGACATTGTACATCCTGGAATAGTACGGATGGTTCATTTCTTAAAAAGTAAAAATCTCCCTTACTCTATCGAAGATGTCAGGCGAATGACCGCTTCATGCTCTGTTTGTGCGGAAGTGAAACCTCGGTTCTACCAAAAAACCCCATCAACACTCATCCATGCAATGGCTCCTTTCGAGGGACTTAACATTGATTTTAAGGGGCCAATCCCATCTGTGACGAGGAATAAATATATACTGACGGTTGTTGATGAGTTTTCAAGATATCCGTTTGCTATTCCTTGCTCGGACACATCAGCATCTTCTGTCATCAAAGCACTTACATCAATCTTCACCATCTTTGGTATGCCTGCTTTTGTCTACTCTGACCAAGGTTCTGCTTTCATGTCAAAAGAACTGAGTGATTTCTTGCACTCTAAAGGAATCGCCACTAGCCGATCTTCATTTTATAACCCTCGAGGTAATTCTCAAGCTGAGCGATATAATGGAACAATTTGGAAGACTGTATCTCTTGTTCTGAGAAACAAGGGACTGAAGACAGAACAGTGGGAGTATATTTTGCCAGAAGCTTTACATTTTATACGCTCGTTACTATGTACAGCTACGAATGAGACCCCACATGAACGTCTTTTCAAACACCAGAGACGATCATTTTATGGCACCTCTCAACCTCAATGGCTCATGAATCCAGGGCCAGTATTACTGGGAAGGCATGTAAGAAATAACAAATATGAACCTTTAGTGGAACAAGCTCAGCTGATAGAGGCTAATCCAGACTATGCTCGCATCAAGTATAGGGATGGTAGAGAGGCTCTGGTATCGGGGCGACATCTCGCTGTTCCCCCTGAAGCTATCCAACAAGAGGATGAGCCAGTGACTTCGGATAATCCCAGTCAAGAACTAGATCCTGTTCTTCAAGACCTGAGACGTGAATCAAACCTGCTTCAACCTGAAATTGGGAACTCTATTCAATCTGAAATCGAAACATCCCCTCTGCATGAGACCATGACCCCCTTCCCCCCTTCTGTGAGGGATAACGAAGAAATAAACCTGCGTCGTTTCACTAGAGTCCGACGACCTCCCACCTATCTAAGGGATTACATAAAAAAGTTGGGGTGAATGTTATGTAATATGATGTCTATTGTACTGTCAAATATTTCTTCAGCTGTTTTATTTAACACTGTTTTGTTTATGTATGTAATGTTTACAGTTTTGTGCAATTCTCTCATGTTTAGCTGACTATTAACATGTTTTTTTTTTTTTTGTAACATTTGATTTAATTTACAATCTGTTCAACAAAAAATAGAACAATAAGCAAATGTGATAAAATTTAAACACAGTAGTTAGTCTCTATCCAACAATAGAGCTAACACACAAACTTTGCATATTTGGTACAAAGTTTAAAGTCTAAAAACGACTACTTTAGTCCAAAACATGGCATCTTTTCAATCTGTATGTATAGTTGCTGTTGTCCAATAAATTTAAAGCAAGGTAGTTAGGATGGTACTCTAATTTCTTTAAGTATTTGGCACTTAATTTTGAAATTTCTTCTTTGAATGTTGGGGTTCGACTGTCCCTGTGAATTACTTCGTTATTGACGAACCAGGGTGCCTGGAGAATGTGTCTTAGAACTTTAGATTGGAGTCTTTGGATGATGTTCAGATTGGATTCACTGGATGCCCCCACAGTTGGATACCGTACGTCCACACTGGTTTTAGAATGGTTTTATATAAAAGCAATTTATTTTCTGTTGTTAATTTAGAATTTTGATTTAATAGCCAAGAAAGATTTTTAAATTTAACAAAATTCTCTTGTTCCAGATGTGGTTTTTCCAATTGAGTCTGCTATCAAGGGTCAAGCCCAAGTATTTAACCTCATTGCACTGTGGGATTTGAACGTTGTTTAGGGTAACTGGAGGACACGTGTCTAATCTTGTTGTAAAGGTTGTATGGACCGATTTACTCTCATTTACTTTGATCCCCAATTTTTTTAGCCAATCGGAGATATTAAGATTATTAAGTTGAATAAAACCATATAAATTTGGTTTCTAAACATTTCTTTTCATAACATTATTTCAAGCCCGAAGTTCAGGAACAGCTGGTTGCAGGAAAAAATGGCTAATTTGCAGTGTTTCAGTAAAAAATGGCTAATTTGCAGTGTTTCAGTAAAAAATGAATTTGCAGTGTTTCAGTAAAAAATTAAAAAAAATTTGGATTTTTAACTTAAATAGATAAATGTTGTATGTAAATTAATCAAAATTAAATTTCCAATTGTAATAAAGACGTTTCAAGAAAAAATAGTAATAGTAATTTAAAAAAATCTAAAGAAAATCTAAAAAATGAAAGTTCTATATTTTTCAAAAGCAATGTCAAAGAATTTAGTATCTATATATATTTTAAACTATTTATTGCTTTTAAGTTTTATTCACTACATAATTTTTTTATAATTGATGAGTGAACGGAATGAACGAATCTATGTATCGTGTATAGCGGAGTCGGAGAAAAGTTGTCCGCTTGTCCGTGTGTGTGTGTGTGTGTGTGTGTGTGTGTGTGCGTACGTTTGCATATCATTGTCGGGACACACGCCTGCATACGGCCAGACAGTCGGGCTAACACACGGTTGTCGGGACTCACACACGTCCCGACAAGCAAAGAATGCCTGAAACGTTGTAATCGGGTCCCAGAAACACTTAGAAAATTTTGTTTAAAATGTCCCGACAGTCAATGTACGCCCCTGGAGTCAGTGATGTCTATCTTAGTCGGACCCTATATCTCACACGTACGGTGGCGCGGCAGTGGTGATTTGCGGAACTAATGAAGTGTGTGGTTGTCCCGACATTCACTTCAAATGCAGGTTTCATGTTGAAGAGATGCAATGTTGC